TTGTCTATCACAAGGTGAATTTTCTGGAATAGTTGTGTGTGTGTGAATGATGTTTTCCCAGATTTTCAGTCAGGGGTGGTTGTAATTGGAGTATCTCGAACGTGTCTGATTCAGAAAGGAAGCTCCGGGTGCTAAACCTGCCATTGTGCTTGTTTCACTCTTCTAGCTTTTGCTTTATGATCCTGCCCCACCTGCCATGTGGGTGTTGTGGTCCATGTGGGACGTCCTTTTCCCATTTCTTTCCTATGAGCATGTTTATTTTTGAGGTTCCTACCCTGGAATCGCCAACCTCCAATTTCTGTGTGGAAGGCTGGTTTGTTGATACACCAAAGCTCTGACTAGACTGCCTAAATGGAAGATGCTGTAATATATGACCTCTCTTCCCATTTTGGTTGAGAGTCAGAAAAAAAAGTCAGAGATTGTGTGCGATGCTCGTGCCAGATACTCTCTTCTACTCTCCATGAGACTTTTTCCTGATATTTTTTTCATTCTCTTTGCTTTTTGCTCATTTTTGACATTTTATAAACATGTAAATTTTCAAGTCATGATGCATGATATAGGTTGATTAACCTGCAGAGTAGTTTCCTTGTAGGTCTGATTGTTTCCTTAGTTCTATTCACATTCTTTGTGTCTAAGCTTAGACCTCAGCAGACAGTGAGTTCACAGGCCAGATATTTACTCCAAACAGAAGAGGGCTAGTGGTATATTGCCAAAGATAAGGACCATGTCCATCTTTGCTTCCACAGGTGCCAGTGTATAGTAGTTGTTTCATTCAGTATTTGTCTAATGAATGACTTAGATGAACAAATTGAGACCTCCATGAACATATATATATATGTGTGTGTGTGTGTTTGTGTGTATATATATATATATACATACATATATACATATATGTGTGTGTGTGTGTATTAGCTTTGGAAATCAGAGTAAAACGTACTTTAATGAGTTGGGTTTATGTGAATTGAAAAAAAATGTTCATAAACTTAGCGTGGAATACATTTCAGTGGTTCCACTCAGTTACAAAACATTAGTAAGTATTTATGAATACTTATGTAGAAGTATTTATGAATTAACTTCTGTTTAAAAATATCATTTGTTTCTAGATTGTTGTCCCCATCATATTTTAGCTTTAATATTTTGTTCAATGTTTAAGGCTATATCCTGGTTTACCATCAAGTAATGTAGGTTAAAAATAACCTATAAAAGTTACAAACCTTTTTTTTTTTTAACTTAGTAGTGAAATTTCTTAGCTAATAGATCTTAAGAGATGATTTGTAAGACAGTGTATAAAAAAGAAGCATAGGTGTGTATTTTGTTAACCACTTATTTACTGAAAGTAGCAGATCTCAACCCTGAGTTCGTATTTGAATCACTTGGGAATCTTTAGAAAAGGTTGATGCTTGGGTCCCACCCCAGAAATGTTGTTTTAATTGTTCTGGAGGGATCTTGAACATAACCGTGGGGTTGGGGGGGACATAAGAGAGGGAGAGACAGACACCACTGGATCCTGGCAATACCAGTACCCTGTCCTTTTCCAGTCACGTTCCCCTCTTTCCACTCACGGGTATTATTACACTGCCTTTTATGGAAACTGAGGCATGGCAGAGTGAGAGGCATGGGCTTTGAGCCTCTTTCCCTGCCTGGGCAAAGGAAGCTCCTTTCTGCCGTGATGAAGCTGTTGACTGTCACCCACTGCTCACTTCTTTTGTGTCTAGGTGATCTTGCTCCCTCGATATTACAGGTCACACCTCTTAATGTTTGCCATTAGAGCAATTATTAGTAATTCTGTTTTAGTTACATTAGTTCAAACAACTCCTGGCACCAACTAAGCAGGAAGAAACACACTTATTTGGTAAAAAAAAATTTTTTTTTCGTTAAACACCCCCATCGCTGCCAAATTGTATAACCCGTTTCCACAGCTTGTTTTCCTGACTGCTGTTAAGAATCTGAAACTCTATAACAAGCAGAATTATTTATATATGTCATGATGTTTCCTGTTTCAAGCTGTTTGCCTGATTCTAGGCGCTGAACTTTAATGCTGAATGAGAAAGTTCTTTTTTGTTTCGCCAGCTTTTTGTTTTCTTCTAGCATCTCCTTTCCTCCCTACCTCCCCAGGAAGCCGTGGACTCTGGGAGGAGTGTCAGCAGTGAGGGATTCAGCCCTGCCTCTTGGCTGCCCTCTCCCACTGAACAAGATGTGGGGACGGGGCTAGAAAGGAGGGGACAGGGAGCTGGTCTAGCAGAACAGGCCTGGAAAGCACTCCTGGTGGAGGAAACTCCTCCCCCAGCACACTGTCCTTTAGGTTGATTACAGTGAATGACACCTCAGGTTTAAGGGCTGTTAGGGCATTTCCCCAGGCACTGTAGGGAGTGCCATTTAAATGATCAACACCACATGTGCCTTTATCAATGGTATTACTTTAAAAGAGAGCAAAAAGGGTTTAGATATTCTCTGTTAGTATTATTTTTCATGAAAGTAAATCATATTTCATAGAACCATGAGACATTTCTCACCAGATTCAGATTGGGATCTGTGACTTAGAAATTCCATCCTGGTGTGGCTGCTTACAATCTTATGCTGACAGGCATGCTGGGGAGAGTGTGTGTATGTGTGTGCGTGTCTTATTAGCTGATCCCACCAAGTCTCTTCCTGATTATTGTTTAAGAAGGGAAAAAAAAATGAAAATGTTATCAAATATGACTTGTTGGGAATCTGTTAAGAATAAGATTCCTACTTTCTAATAAAATTTGTTTAAAGGTCAAAAGCTTAAAGGATAAAATAATTGAAATTAAATTCTTTAATAGCTTTTTGAAGATATCAAGTATCTTAAACAGATGCCTGGTGCGGGTGCACAGCTTTGTATAATTTTAGATGTTTTGGCTTTTGAGATGCCGTTTTACTGGGGTGGGGGCGTCTGGTGCATCACACAGGTGGATGACGGAGCAAGTGTCCAGTGGAGTTGGTGGCATTTCATTCTGAGTGCTCATTGACACATTTGAGCTATAGGCTTATGTTCATTTATCCAGATCAAGAAACAGCAGTACAAACCAATCACAGATGTAAGCTAAGAAGTTTTCTTTTGCATCCATGTGCAGTGGAGTATTTCCTTCTGATTATTTAAAATCAGAGACTTGTTGGATGCTGGCTCCCCAGATGTCACCCCAGCCTGCTGGTAAGACAAGGATGAGCTACTGCCTAGTCTAATGAGGGAGGATTCCACCGCCATGGAGCCTTAGCAGCTTCTTGCAGGGGGAAAGGCAAACCTGGAATTTATTGAGAACCTGGAGTTTAATTTAATGTGGGTCTTTTAATATGGGGGTGAGGTGGTGGGGAGGGGTGGGCAGGGAGGGGAGTTTTAGTAGGACTGGATAAGGGTGGTGCTGAAATAGTTCCCAAGTAGTTTTAGGGCTTACAGTACAGGTTGATGCTTCCTACTGAGGTTGATAGGTTTTGAAGGAAGTTCTTATAATAAAAAGTCATTCACCTAGGCAGGAGTCTCCTTGACTGGTAAAGTTACGTTAATGAAGACAATGGAATAGTATAATCACGTTAATGTAGACAGCTGTGTGGAGAAGTAGGTATTTTTTTCAGCATTCAGGTTGTGTGTGGAAATATGAGTTTCTGTTCACAGATTTTAGTCAAGAGGTATCAGAGGCAGAGATAAGATGAAGATGCTCCAGTGAGCAGCGGCAGCCATACATTGAGAGCTGACTTTCATGGGTAGTCATCAGGGAAAGAGCCATTGGTCATTTATCCATTCATTCAATAAGCAAATATTTATAGCGCATTTACATGCCAGGCGCCATTGCTTTCAGGACCTCCACTCCACTGAGGTGCAGCTGTATCTGGGCTCTGTCAGATCACAAACACAGCCAGTAACACCACTTACCTGGGGGGATGAATAACTCCAATTCTTACTGGATGCTTATTCAAACAGATCTTGAGTGTTAAGATTTTCATGTGTAGTTGAAGATTAGGCTTGTTGTAAGGTATGTCTTGGTGTCTGTGGAGTTCATGGGCTTAAGCTTTTTTAAATGCAAGCAGATTTATACTTTAACATATTTCCAGTGTAATGTTTATCACAGGCCAGCTGTGTTCTAGGCACTGAGTCACTGCAGTAGAAACACAGGTTTAAAAATTCAATTAGGCAACATATACAAAGAATTGAGATTTAACAGGCAGTTGGCCATTCAACTCCACCAATACCAAAAAATTTAAGTTTGTCAGATACTACATTAGGTGTCAGAAATTAAAAACTTCAAGGACCTGCCCACCCCAACCTGTTTCATGATTAAACAATCAAGAAACAACCATCATGTAGAGCAGCAAACATCAGAATGAAAACCCAGACCCAGGCCAACTGCGAGCCCCCTGCCAAGGTGCGAAAGGCACAGGCTGTGCTGTGCAAGTAAAGCACTGGGGTGCCTTTGGCAGTACTGAAATAATACTAGGGACCCCAGAGATGGGCCAGAGCACCTCCAGGAGGTTGGAGAAAGTTGGTCTCAAGTTGTCTGGACATATGAAGCCCATTTCTGTCCCCCATTCTCATCAGAGGAGGGGAACCTCTGAGCATGAAGAATGGAAATGGAGGCCCCTTTGTTGTCTCAGTCCCTATGAGCCTGCCCTGCTGGAATAGCAGTGTCACCTTGAAGGGCACCTTGGGACTTGACAGTGTCTGTTTCCAAAGGATGGTCTGCTCCTAGCCCTCGTTTTCCCTGGGTGACTTCACTGCCCATGAGTGAAAGGGGATGGGACGGGATGGGGCGGCAGTGGAAATAACATTGTACCAGTGGCAGGTGGACCTGGCTCTGGCACCTGCTGGCTGCCTAACCTTGGGTGAATCCCTGGACTTCTCCACAGCTGTCAAATGACGTGTTTGGATTAGATACCTTTGATGGTTCTTCCAGCTTCTACATTCTTATGTCTAAATTTATGGTCTCTTTGATAAAATATCTGATAAACTTTGTAAATGGAGGGACTAATACATCTTTTTCTTTCAGTTTCTTTACACAGAGAGTCTCTTCTACACCTGGCTGTGAGGTGGGATCTCACTAAGCTCTGCCAGCTCCTCTTGTGTCTCCCTGGGGGCGTCCAGGCCTTGGCTTTGCCTAATGAAGAGGGTGCCACACCATTAGACTTGGCTCTACATGGCGGGCATACCCAGCTGCTCGAAGACCTCACAAAGTAAGTGTGGCTACTTCACAGAGAGATTCTCTCTCAATCTGTCTCTGTAAAGTCTTCCAAGCATTATGGAAAAAATTGAGCCCCTACACAGTCAAAAATCCTTATATGACTCTTGACTCCCCCAAACGTAACTACTAAGTAGCTTACTGTTGACTGGAAGCCTTCACACATATTTGTATGTTAAATGTATTATGTACTGTATTCCTGTAATAAAGTGAGGTAGAGAAAAGAAAATGTTCAAATCAGTGCAAACTCCAAATATTTTCCAATGTATTGAAAAAATTTTCAGTTAAGGGACCTGTGCAATTCAAACCCATGTTGTTCACGTGTACACCGTAATTAATTTATGACTGTATAATACATAACGGGGACATTGGAGTAGAAATCAGAGTTTTCCATTTATTTTTGTTCTCATTTGGTCAGATGACTGACCCCCAGGCAGTGAAGAGCCCATCTAGGAGGAATTGCCCTTTCCTTTGCTCTAACATGACCTTATGTTCTTGACTAGTTGGACTTGGACTTAGTCACTGCAGATAGTTCAGTGTCACATCAAGGTCCTGGAGGTAGACTTCTTCATTTTGGTAGTTTTGTTATTTTTGTACAGTGTCTAAGACCAGAAGATATTACAATGTTTTAAAAACTTACATATCTAATCCATTCACGGATGGGATTAGAAGTAGATTGTAAGCTAAATTCTGTCTATGTGGTGGAGCTTCCATTTTGCTAAGTAACAATTTTATTCTTAGCCTCAGAGTCCATTTACTTCAGCGGCTTGTTGTTGGCATGGGGCATTGTTTTCTAGGAGATTCTGGAGTCCGTGCTGGTAATTAGTGTAAAGAATTTTTGGAGATACCCTAAACCTTAGAGCACAAGTGCTTTGATGGTTCTCTTTTTGTCACTCCTTATGATGGAGATAGTATTTACTTGATTGGAAGTATATCAATTATTGTAAAGCAAATACTAACAAAATGAGGTCACGGAAGAAGAGGAAAGAGACAGAGAACTAGTTCTGTGAGGTGAGGGGTCTGTGGGGATGAGACAACGTGCTTACGTGGCTGTGGTCTGGAACTACTAGCATTTTCCTTCTGAGGCTTCTTTTCTTCTAAATTAACTTTTTGAAGTGTTTTTTTAAATTGAAGTATAGTTAATATATACTCTTAAATTGGTTTCAAGTATAAAACACAGTGGTTCAGCAGATCCCCATTATTAAATCCTCATCCCCACTAGTGCAGCTACTATCTGTCAACATAGGAAGATGTTACAGAATCACTGACTATATTCTCCATGATGTACTACCATCTCTGTGACTAACTTATATTATGATTGAGAATTTTTGTGCCCCTCTATCCCTCTCCCCTTCCCCACCCTCCCACCCAGGCCCTCCCTCATGTCACCAGTCACTCAGCCATAGTGTTTCTGAGTCTACTGCCGCTTTGTTCATTTTGTTTTGTTTTGTCTCTGCCTGGCTTATTTCACTGAGCATAATAACCTCTAGGTCCATCCATGTTATTTCAAAATAGCAGGATTTTGTTCTTTGCTACTGCATGACCTTATAAACCATACAAAATATTATGATACCAACCATGAAGCCTACATATAGCTAATAAGTGTGCAGTTAGCCAAAACAGAAGAGAAAATAAGCTGATATTCAAGAATTTTGCTTAGGAATATTGTTCCTTAGAGTGTATTCAAGGATACAGCACAGTCGCATTTATGCATGTTTTAATTTACATGAGAAGATGATTTACAACAACAGACCAGTGTGTCTTGAATATCTCACTTGTTTGTACCATCTAAACCTCACCATGCTCCCTGGAGATCCTATCTGTTTTCCACTGTAATCACCTAATAAACTGTTGGCTGCCAGCTAATTGTTCTATTGCATGTGGCTCAATTAAAGTGAGAAGCACCTCTTCAGATTAAAAGAAGAATGAAATATTGAGGTAAAGCACTATGTGTGAAAGTCAGTAGTTTCATTAGTTAGATAAATCTTTAAAGTACATAATATATGTGAATGGCTTTTCAGTTGACATCTCCAGGTGGAAAAAGAAAGCTGCTTTATTAGGATCTGTTTACATGATCTTATGCACTTGTCGTCAGCCAGGTGGCTTTCGGGGTACCTATCAAACTGTTTTGCCAGTTTGGTTTGTAATATCAGTGGCACTGAGGGTAGTGAGATCTTGGGGGTGGGTGTCTCTGAAGCTGCCATTGGGTTTTGATTTGTGATGTTTCAGTTTCCAGGAAAAACGTTCCCCAGGCTTCTCTCGCGTGCAGCTCAGCGAAGATGCCTTCCTGCAGTATGTTCACTCCTCAGAAACGCTGACCCTGACGTTTAACCACACAGCTGAGCATTTATTGGAGACAGATATTAAACTCTTCAGGAAATACTTTTGGGATAGAGCCTTTCTCATCAAGGTTTGTGTCCCTTCATTCTGGTATATAATAACTCACCCTTCTTGAAGTGCAGACAGCAAACTCATTATTTGGGGAACAGTGTTTTGGGGGTAGTACTTTCTTTTTTCTAATGCAATGTTGGGAAATGTGGACTTGGAGACGGTTGCATCATTAGAATGAAGATTATAATACAGGAGTTTGACTATAGAAGAGGTAGTTTGAGTGCTGTTATTTCAGGAGGCAGTATCACCAGTGTTGGATTTTAATAGTCTAGTATCAGATATTTTCTATTTACTGATTATATTAAGATTATCTAAAGCAGTTGTACCTGTGGTTATTTTACATATATAATATCTACTTTTGAGGTTTCTTAAGGCTCAGATGTAGTTAAGGATTTGTCCCTGCATATGGCTTCTTCTTGAATGAGGCGGGACATTTGAAACCAGCTCTTTTTCAAAGATGTTTTTTTCCCCCTCCCACCATGATCCAAACACTAGCTATGAGTGCTGAGAAGTCCTATCTCAGGGGTTAAAATGGTTTATCTTTGTTATTTTAATTTTTTTTATAGAACCCAGAAGAATATGAGTAATATTTACATATTTAAATTGTTAAGCAAAATGTTGTTTTGAGTAAAAGGGTTTGATTCCCTCAAGTTGTCAGTGCTCAGGGTCCAGGGGGCTCCCTCCCCAGATCCCATGACTCCCTGTGCTCTCCAGGCACCCAGGAGGCTGATGCTGCATGACTGCAGAGGCTGTAACAAAGGCAACAGTCGGTTTACAAAACACAGTTTTGGCTTTGTAAAATGTTTGCTTCGTATCATTAAAGATTTAGCCCAAAATACTACCTATCAAAGATTATTGGCTTACTCTATATAGGGTTATTTTTAAACAATTAAAATGAAACATGCTCTTTAGAGTATGAACTACCATCCTTTTGTTGGGTTTTAGGAAACATAGCCTCTAATTTCTTTGCATTTAGAGATCCTCAAGCCTTTAGCCAATCGGTAGCTTCTTACCCAGGCCCCCAGGGGAGGCTATGTCCCAAGGCTGAGGCTTAGCCTAGCCCAGCAAAATTGCTCAGGATAAGCCCTGTGCACTTTCACAGGGGGTGCAGAGTTCAGCCACCTGTGCTCTCAGGAGCTGCTCAGACTGCTGCACGGCACTGCTGACAAAACTCCTGAAAAGGATAGAGCATGCTCTCTGTGTAGCAAGAATTAGGAACATTTGTTTCTATAGAACCTCCAACTACTTAGTCTGGATTTGTGATTTCTCATATGGGATAATACTGATGCCCTTGGGGAAGCTTCAATAATCTATTGTAGTGAACTCTACAGTAACAAAGACCTAATGGAGATGTCTTCCCAGTTTCTTGGAGATTGTCATTTTATGAAAAACACTAGGTAAGAGAATGGGTTTGTGAAATGGCCTTGTGCTCTACGTGTCAGCACTACTTTTTTCTTCTGACCCTGAGTTGTGAGGCTGGGTAGTGAGTAGGGAGGCCAGGAAGGTAATAGGGCTGAGATTCATTAGGACATCATGCGACTTAGAATAAATATATTGGGTTTTGGCCCATGGTTCCTGGCTCAGCTCTCAAACCCTTTGAATTCCCTGAGTGCTGGGATAGGTAAAGGTGTCTTTGTTCTGTTAATGTGGTGACTTTTGGACCCCATCTAAGAATGGGGGCTAATTGGTAGTGGAGATCCTTGTGTCATTAGACGGTTGGAATTTTCATTCCCACTCCCTGACTCTGGGAAGGGGAGAGGAGATGAAGTTCACTTAACCACGGGCATTGATTGAACCAGTCGTGCCTAAGTAAGGAAGCCTTCATAAAAGCCCAAAAGGGTTCAGAGAGCTTCTGGGTTGGTGAACACGTGGAGGTGCTGGGAGGGTGGTGTGCCTGGAGAGAGCATGAAAGCTCCACTCCCTTTCCTCATACTTTTCCCTGTGCATTTTTTCCGTCTGGTTATTCCTGAGTTAGATCCTTTTTTAATAAACCAGTAATCTAATAAGTCAAATGTTTCTCTGAGGTCTGTGAGCTGCTCTAGCAAATTAATGGAACCCAAGGAGAAGGTTATAGGAACTTCTGATTTACAGCCAGTTTGTCAGAAGTACAGGTAACAAGCTGGACTTGTAACTGGTGTCTGAAGTCCAAGTCCTAAGAGGGTCTTGGGAACCTGCAATTTGTAGCCAGTGGGTCAGAAGCACCAGTGACAATCTGGACTTGTGATTGGTATCTGAAGTTTTGGGGTTGGGGCCTTCTTATAGGACTGACCCTTAACCTGTGGAATCATGTGCCATCTTCAGAATTGAGTTAAAATGCAGGATGCCGAGCTGGTATCAGAGAACTGCTCCTTGGTGGGGCATCTCCTGCCCCATACTTTGGAATTGGATCCAGAACTTTACTAGACATCTAAAGTCATTGATTCTTACCTGTTCAACAAGATGTTTTTGTAGTATTCAAGAATACTGAAGTATTTTTGTGGTACTGCTTACTTTGTTAGATATTATCTTTTTTTTTCATTTTTTATTTTAAATTTTTTATTAAGGTATAGATGTAGGCAGGTGGTAATTGTTATGTAGGTTGTCCATGTGAAAGTCTCATCATCTGGGGAATAAATATGATATTTTGTATTGTAATAATTTATTCATTGTTCATTAAATCTTAGAAGTCTAAAAACTGTTTTTATGTAATAACTATGGATAATGACTTTGATCTGACAAATTTATTAGTGAACCACAGCATTTTCTCAGTCTTGTCCTGGAGCTTCAGTCTCAGGGTTTGGGCATTCCTCAGTTATCTGCAGCCTCCTAGAACAACTACAGTGGAACCTTGCTGCAGAAAACTGAGTTTACTTTACCATATACAAAAGCTATTCAGATAACCCCTTTCTGAAGCCATAATTGTCGAGAGTTGTAGAAGATTCATGTCATCAGGCTGTGTTACAGCTGATACTGGTGGACTGTTAACTTATAATAAATATGGAAAAAAATGACAGGTTGGTGCTAAATAATAGACAAAATCTTAGCTATGTCTTTTCATCATATCTTATTTCTATCCTCATAACAAAGCTTTTTCTGTTATAACATCAATGTTGAGAATTTAGTTCTAGAACTTGGCTAAAATTAATAAGGCAGCTAGGAAATTTAAGTGTTTGAAAGGTGCATACAAAATTACTTGTAAGAATAAAAATTGTGTTAACACACCCTGTTTACAAGAAAGAAAGTATTTCCTTATTTCAGGTTTTATTTTGTAATCAGAAGCCAACATGCCTGATGCCTTTGACACCTGGGCTTAGCAATTGTAAGACTGTTGAAAGACTAGGGTTTGGGGTTAAGGCTGACCCCAGGTGAGCACACGGGGCTATCTAAGTAGTTGTTTTAGGCTTCTGCCTGTGTGCTGAGCCCTTTCCTAAGCCCAGGCCTGCTGTCCTCACCTCAGTTCATCCCAATACCCAGCCGATCCAGCCCACGCATCACTTCCCCAGTGGGCCCTGGGGGAGAGACTGCTGTGTCCTGGGGTAAGGCTGCGGCAGCCAGCAGCTACTGACAGGCGTTGTGGGACATTTCCTTTGCCCTTCCCCTTTATGGTTTGGTAAATTGTGCGTATTTTTGTGCTCTGTTTGCTCTGGCCTCAGGAGGTTGTTCTGAAGTGTCAAGAGCAAGACATTGATAAACTGAGCTTAGGAACATGCCTTGGGGCCGTGGGGGCTCTGACGGCTGTAGGCTTGCCTGCCCCTCATATGCTTGTTTTGGAGGATGTGGTGAGGGCCTCTGAGTCCGACCACCTCCCCACCCCACCCAACATGGCTCCCATTGTCGTCCTGGGGTGCTGTCCACGTGTTCTCCCAGCAGCTTTACTCACCCTCTTTCCTGACCTCCCCAAGCCATGTCTCTGGCCTGTCCCAGCACCAAGATCCTTGATTGTGATTTTCATCTCTTAGTTGCATCTTGAAAGCCTTAAGTGGTTTTTAGTGACTTTTTTTTTTCTTTTCTTCCTTTCTTAGGTTCTTGAAGAACAAGAAGCCAGGACAGAGGAAGGACCAGATGTGCCTTCTAGTGTTGCAGAAACTGAAGAAGGTACACATGCTCCTTCCATACTTGGGGAACCCAGAAAGTGCTCAGGACTTACCTGTTTGCTGGTGCTTGAAGCGTGTGGTGAAAGAAGGAACCAGGGGACTTGGAGGCAAGGTCAGGCCTGTGGGTGAGAGTAGCTGCGTACTGGGAGGTGCTGAGGAGACGCAGGGTGAGGACTGGGCTTGTGGGTTCTCTGACAGTGTCCAAACAGAGTTTCTGTGTTTCCAACTTTTATTCCATTAGCATTTACTGAGGGCTGTTTTCCAGCCCTGGGCCAGGCCCTCCCACATTCCTCATCTTCAGGGCATTCTCCTGCACACAGAGAGTGCTCACCTCATTGCCAAGTTTGGTTTGTTCATTCCATTCAGTCCTTCGTCAAACACTTGTTCTGTAGCTTCTTCCACCTTTGTGGAGCCTCTACTCTGTGCTGGGCCAGTGGGTTTTAAAGATGTTGGAGATCATAAAGGTGTATTGTTTAAGGTCTGGGGACCACCACTGGCATGTAGAAATGAGGGGATGCTGGATGCTCTCCAGGGTCCAGTCCTACCATCCCATGTTGTCCTGCTCAGAGGCTCACAGTCCTGATGGGAGTCCACTGCAAGAGGTATTTTTAAATAATGCATTGTCACTACTCTGTTCCACATTGTAACACATGGAATTGTGTTGAAACTGCACTTGGACAAAACACCCAACTCCTTTTGCAGGAGGACATTTTCTCATTTTCTCCAACTTGGCAGTTTATCTGGGCATGCAATCTCTACTTCAGGGCAGGTTCTTTGCCCTTTTCTGTAATCAAATAAGTAATATTTGTTAGCAAATCCTAATAATAAACACAGGTTTGGATACTAGGGTGCATTCTTATTCTTGAATATTCCTGTACTAAATCTGAGGAACAGATTCTGACTTTTGTTTTTGTATTTTCTCTAAAATGCAGTAGTTGCAAAAATCTGACTATGTATGTCCTTGTATCTTCTAGGGTAGTTAAGGAAAAGGTTTTATATATTGACATCAGTTACTTTCTATTTGCTTTATATTTTAGAGTTTTTATTTTTTGAAATATGTAAGGATAGTGTTATATAAATTTGAGGGTAGGGTTATATTATCTATTTAATTTCAGGATAGGGGAGGAGGAATTATAAAATGTCAGTGTAAAGGGATAATAGTCTGATAGGGCTAAGAGTCACCATGTTAGATGCTGGGGTTAGGGAGGAAAAATAGAACATGACCCTTGTCCCTTGGCCACCAATGTTGATAGCTGGTCAATACCTTTGGTTCTGCTTATAATTGGTATCATTGAATAGTGGTAGTCCAGGTATTTATCAGGTAGTATGATCTTATCTTTGCCTCTGCCTTTGTTAAAAAGTAGTCTTAGAGAAGGAAGATCTGTGGCAAGTTGTTGGACATCGTGCATGGCCCTTCTGCATTGCACGAGCTGCTGGGTTAAGCTGACTGGCGGGGTGTCCAACTCCAGCTGTACCACCTGAGCCCTCACTTCTGTCCTGTGGGTGATGTACTGGCTGCACAGAGGGGTGCTGCAGTTGGCCCTGCCTGCCCGAAGAGGGCATGGGTAACTCACACCTTCTTCTGAAGACTGGTAGGAGAAGCCTCTTTCTGGTCTCCTATCAGGGTGCTGGCTTCTCCTGAGCATTTGGCTTGCTCTTCCTGCTCTAATGTAACTGACTAGCTTTCTTGCCTCTAGTTGGCTGGTAGAAACTTGGAGCTAAGTTTCTGGCTTTCCAATTGCAAATGTGTGGAGTACTGCTGGCTGCATTTTTGTATAACCCTTATTTCTTAAGCCTTCACTCCTTTCCTTTTTTTAAAAAATGAACTTCGATTTTTACTTTATCATCTTGTATATGTTTTTTCCCTTATGATCTACCTTCAAATTAGTTTAGAACAGAATGAGGTCTATATACTTCAGTGCTTAAATTCTAAGCCCTTGGATTTGCTTAAAGATGGCAGCGTGAGCAGTGATACAGAAACCTTCTCCCAAAACCACATATAATATGAAAATATAGCAAATACAACTAATCCTAAAAGAGCAACAGGAAAGAAGGCTGTGGCAAACTGCCTACGCCTGGAGAAAAGAGCAGATCTCATGGGAAAGGATAAAGTACCAAAGCTGCCATCTGGGGGGACCCAAGCTCTTCTCCCACCCCAGTTCACTGGTGGGAGGAAGAGAAACAGAGCAGGGAGTGGGTGCCCTGGAGATCTGCTTTGGGAGCACAAACTTACATTACTTGGTGCACTGGAGATTAGTGGGGTTGGAAAGCTAAGACAGGCAGAATACTTGAAGAAACTGAGATATGCCACTTGTGGAGAACAGGTACCCACAGATGGCCACTCTGGGACAAAAGAAAGGTGGACAGTCTGACAGACTTTCTAACAGTGATAGGTTCTGCTAAAGGGTTAAAGATTGCACAGAGCTTGCTGTTCAGGAGAAAGGACAGGTGGACAAAATTGTCTCAGTGCACTCAACCCAGCAGGTTGGGAACTTTCAGGAGCTTCAGGTGCTCCATCCCCCTGGTTGGCAATGCAGCTATGAGGCACACAAAGGTGATACACAGCCTGCTGCTCCTCCCTCATGGCCAGCACTGGCTCACAAACCAGCTGCCCCCACCTTGCACCAGGCCAGCCAGAGGGCGGCCAACCCTATGGCAGCTACAAGTAAATAGCATAGAGGATCCTTCCTGCACTTTTTGCTCTCTGGCCTTGGCAGTGGAGGCAGGCACTGCAGTCAGGAAGGAGGAAAGAGCTCTTTCCTCCCAATAGGTACCAGCATTGCTTGACTGTGACTCCCGCCATTGCCATGTGAACAGTTCCAGAGGGTAGAGCTTCTGGACATCAGAGGGGACCACATACACAAATGAAATGTCAAAGGAACATGGTCAAAACCAAAATCCCAGAAACACCAGAAAGAGGGCCAAGTGCAAATGAACTCACCAAACTTCCGGAAAGAGAGTTTGAAATAAAAATCATAAACATGCTCATGGAGCTACAGAAAAATATTCAGGAACTGAGGGAGGAATTCAAGAATGAGATAGAAACTTTGAAAATTACAGTATCCAAAATGAAATGTACAATGGAGGGATTTAAAAGCAGATTAGAAGTAGAGGAGATAGTAAGTGAGATTGAAATTCAAGAACAGGAATACAAAGAAGCTGAAGCACAAAGAGAAAAAAGTATCTCTAAGAATGAAAATATTGACAGAACAAAGAATATTTGATTGTGTGACCAATCCAAATGGAACAATATTCACATTATAAGGGTACCAGAAGAAGAAGAGAGAGAAAAGGGGATAGAAAGTGTCTTTGAGGAGGTAATTGCTGAAACTTCCCCAATCTGGGGAAGGAGATAGTCCCTCAGGCCATGGAGATGCACAGATCTCCCAAAACAAGGGAGCCAAGGAAGACAACACCAAAGCATAATCATTAAAATGGCAAAGATCAAGGATAAGGACAGAGCATTAAAAGCAGCCAGAGAGAGAAAAAAGATAACATACAAAGGAAAGCCCATCAGGCTATCATCAGACTTCTCAACAGAAACCTTACAGGCCAGAAGGGAGTGGCATGATATATTTAATGCAATGAAACAGAAGGGCCTCCAACCAAGAATACTCTATCTGGCAAGATTATCATTTAAATTTGAAGGAGGGATTAAACAATTTCCAGATAAGCAAAAGCTGAGAGAATTTAGCTCCCACAAACCATCTCTACAGTGTATGTTGGAGGGACTTCTGTAGACAGAAGTGTCCCTAAAGCTAAATAGCTGTCACCTGGGGTAATAAAACCACAGTAAAGAAAGTAGAACAGTTAATTACTAAGCAAATGCAAAATTAAATCAACTACCTCCAAAGTCAGTCAAGGGATAGAGTACAGAATATGATACCTAATATATAAAGAGTGGAGGAGAAGAAAAAGAAAAAAAAAAAGAACCTTTAGATTGTATTTGTGATAGTGTACTAAGTGAGTTAAGTTAGACTGTTAGATAGTAAAGAAGCTGCCCTTGAACCTTTGGTAACCATGAATCTAAAGCCTACAATGGCAATAAGTACATATCTATTAATAATCATCCTTAACGTAAATGGAATGAATGCACCAATTGAAAGATGTAGAGTTAAAGAATGGATAAAAAAGCAAGATCCATCTATATACAGCCTACAAGAGACTCACTTCAAACCCAAAGACATACACAGACTAAAAGTGAAGGGATGGAAAAAGATATTCCATGCAAGCAATAGGGAGAAAAAAGCAAGAGTTGCTATACTGTATCAGATAAAATAGGCTTCAAAACAAAGAAAGTAATAATAGACAAAGAAGGACATTATATAATGATAAAGGGGTCAATCCAACAAGATGATATAACCATTATAAATATCTATGCACCCAACATAGAAGCACCCAAATATGTGAAACAAATACTAACAGAATTAAAGGGGGAAATAGAATGCAATGCATTCATTTTAGGAGACTTTAACACACCACTCACTCCAAAGGACAGATCAACCAGACAGAAAGTAAATAAGGAGACAGAAGCCCTGAACAATACATTAGAACAGATGGACTTAACAGACATCTACAGAACACCCCACTCAAAGGCAGCACGATACACATTCTGCTCAAGTGCACATGGAACATTTTCAAGACTAGATCATATACAAGGCCACAAAAAGAACCTCAGTAAATTCAAAAGGATTGAAATTGTACCAACCAGCCTCTCAGACCACAAAGTTATGAAACTAGAAATAAATTATGCAAAGAAAACAAAAAGACCCATAAACACATGGAAGCTTAACAACATAATCTTAAAGAATCAATGGATCAATGACCAAATTCAAACAGAGATCAATCAATATATGTAGGCAAATGACAACAGTAGTTCAACACTACAAAATCTGTGGGATGCAGTGAAGGCCAGGCTAAGAGGAAAGTATATTGCAATACAGACTTACCTCAGGGAAGAAGAACAATCCCATATGAACAGTCTAAACTCACAATTAATGA